AGGTTCCTGCACCCAAGTGGGAGACCTGGAAGAAGCTCCTGGCTTCTGCCTTCAGATTGGCTCAGCTCCAGGCACTGCAACCATTTGGAAAGCAAACCAGCAGATGCAAAATCTGTCTCTCCTTTTCTCTGTAACTCTGCCTTTCAAATAAAACTATAATAAACTTCTTTTTCAAAATAGCCAGAGAAATGTTTGCCCTTTCTGCTTTTCTCCATCTACCTACATCACTTGAAGAATGAAAAACAAAATAGTTTTGGCACAGAGGATTATGTATAAGATGACATTTTATCTATGCTAAAACAAGATCTACCATACAATTAATTGTCCCAACTTGCTCAAAGGACAATCAAATAACAGAATGTTTTAAACCCTTCTTTAGATTTGAGGAAAGGGAATCACTTAGAGAAGTTATTTTATTTACAAGTAAGTTTGATTCCAAGAAGCATTTCTGAAGTGGATTTTCGAAGTTCAAAGGAGCAATGTCTGAGGCATTTCCTCAAAATAGAGTAGGATCTTTGAATTTTGAAGCTGTGCATATACTTCTCCCACTTTCAGGAAAATACAATCATCCCTCCATATCCCTGGGACACTGACCCAGGTCCCTCTTGGATAGCAAACAGTATTGCATGCACACACACACACCATATTACTCAATTCACCTCTAGCTTACTTACAATATTTAATGCAAGGTCAATGCAATGTTTAGGGAATGATGACAAGAAATAAAACATGAACATATTCAGTACAGATGAAACCTTTCAAATACTTTTGGTTTATGGGTGGTTAAATCCACTTATATAGAACCCATGGATACCAAGCACCAGATTGTATTGTCTCAGGATTAATTTATCATTCCATGTCTTTCTTTTGACACGAAGCCTCCTCAAGAGCTCATTACAGCCACCATCTCTACTTACCCCAACACCACACCCCTAGAATTGCCTGCTTCAGACCTCCAGGGATCTTGAGGCCAAGGCCAATGGTCACGTTTTATTTCTCACCCCCGTTTCACACAGTATTCGTCACAGCTGGCCACTTCATCCCCTTGAATCAGTCTTTTCCTTTGACTGTTTCTTCACCACACTCACTTTTTGCTCAGTGTTCCTCCTTAGTCTCTCCTGTGATTTCCTTCTTTGTGTGACCTTTAGTTTAGTTTCTCAGTTTGTAACAGGTTCAACATAGTTCATAAATACAATTCTAGGAATATAACACTATTCTTCTTTCTTCCTTCTTTAGTTTTTGAAACAACATTTTAATCTACATTATACAAAGGCTTAGTGTTCCATTTAATAAAGAGCTCAAGAACTAAAAAAAAAACAAGAAGACCCTAGTTTAGCATAAATATAATCAAGGACTATACGCAATAATAGAATGGAAAGAAGATGTTTTATACTCATATAGAAATTGTCTAAGTAATCACAGATCATTAAAACTCTAGTTATATAACATTCTCAACCATTGATTGACACAGGCATAAGTGTGCCATGCGGGGCCCTCCTGTCTGATGTTTACATTCTAGATCACTAAGCTCTACAGGTACACGTGTATAGATGCAGTCTGTGATGACGGCTCCAGTTCTGTGCCTTCAATGTACCCAACAGGCTCATACATCATTCAAATGCCCATCAACCTCTTGACTTGGACACCTAGTGAGAATCACAAAGTTTATATATTCAAAGTATACTATAAAATTACCTTGCTCGTTTTATGTGTATTTCCTTATCCTCTGTACCTCCCTTGCCCTCATGCAAATAGTAAAGGCCATATTAACTGTTTTCTCCATTGTTGGCTCAGTAAGTAAACCTGTGTTTTGTATATACTACAAGTTTAATAAATATCTGTTAACTTAATCAATACATCATTTTGTTAAAAAAAAAAAAAAGGGGGGGGACATCAGTAACACAAATATTATATGGGTCCATTTACATGCGGCACATAGAATTATCAAACTGAAAGAGACAAGAGAAAAGAGAATGATGGCCACAAGGGGGTAAGGAATGGGATGCCCGGATAGGGAGGTGGTATTTAATAGGATTAGAATTTCAGTTGAGGGTAATGGGAGAGTTCTAGAGTCTAGTAGCAGTGATGGTTGCACAACAATGTGAAAGGATTTCATGTTATTAAATTTTTTAATTTAATAATATTTCAATGTAGAATTTTAAAGTTCAACAATTAAATGTTGAATTTGAAAACTCAATAGCAGTATATTTTACTTCATATATATTTTATTACAATTTGTAAAAGAATGGCTTAATTAAAATGTAAAATCAGTTGATGCAAATAAACTTCTCCACTTGTCACATCTATAAATGTCATAGCAAATTCTTGTAAGAACTGTATTGTTCATACTTTGCCATTTCTTCATGAAAAGGAACTTTGATCCAATGTACATAACCATGACTTGCCACAAAAATGGTATCAGCAGAATGGTCAAAGTATTTAATCCTTAAGTTTCACCACAAATTGCTAGATTCCTCTAAATTAATGCTAGATTAATTGATATCCATTTTATCAATTATTATCTATTTCAATCAAATACTCAAAATTCTTTTTCTGTCAATTACTTTTCTTCTTTTGTTGTTTATGTTGAATATTGCATGGTAGAGGTGTGTGGAGGATGAAGTGTATTGAACTCAGATCTTAATGAAGATGAAAAAGTGACTGCAAATGGCTGAGCACACTCTGTAAAGAAAATCTATAAGGGGTCTTCAAGATGTTTGTGGAAAATTTGAATTATGAAAAAATATGCATGGATTTCAAAACTTTCTGCACCAAAATCAACTTATCTTTTATTTCTATTTTCTGTGAGTTTTTTGAAGACCCTATTGCATTCAATGTATAATACATAGATATTCCTCAATGTTTGTTTTGAATTACTCACCAATAAATCCATCATAGGTTGAAAATATCATAAATCATAATACAAAAAAATGTTGAATATCACAGTTTAGCTAAACCTACTTAAACGTGCTCAGATGCTTAAGCACTTACTACAAATTCTATTTTATAATAAAATGTTGCATATCTCCTGTGATTTACTGAATGCTGTACAAACAAATAAAAAAGCCAGAATGCTTGCATTGGTGTATTTTCATATCATCATAAAGTTGAAAACTCATCAAATTGAATCATCCTGAGTTAGGATCTGTGTGCAAATATAGATATGTTGTTTTTATCACTTACCTAGGCCTCCTCATTAAAAATTTGGTTATAGAATTGAAAAAAAGTTCCATTTTATGCACAAAGGTTTTTTGTTTGTTTTTTGCTTATGGGACACACTCAAGCATATCCAACTTATTTGACTCTGGCCAGACAAGCACATAGCTCCAGTTGGCCACGGCTGAATCACATGTGCACATCTGATGTGAAGGAGGACACTGATTTTACTCAAAGTCCAGAGAAACGGTTGAGAAAGGGCGTGCCTAAAGTAGTGAGCTAAAAGCACAGTATGTTCCTTGCAGAAACTCGACAGGAAAGTTGTTTCTTCGCCTTTCCCAGCTTCCATAAAATACCTTTGTTCCCTGGATCTTAGGACTAGCTTCATTTCAACGTTCAGCCTCATGCTAATCCAGACTCTGACAGCAGATGATGGTCTAAGTAGCTGGGCCCCTGCTATCTACAGGAGAGGCTGGTACTGTTTTCCCAGCTTTCTGTTCTGGCCCGACCCAGCCTTAACCACTGTGGACATGTGGTGAGTGAACTAGCAAATAGGAGGTCTCTCTTCTCCATTTATCTGTCTGTGTCTCTGCCTCTCAATTAAGAAAAAAATCTCCCCCCCAAAAAAACAGCTAAAATTTTGAAAAACAAATAAGATCACCAGGTAGTAACCTAATTCCATACACAACCTGAACATGTCGTGTGTTCATTCCCCTTGATGTGTAACTTGACATAATCATAGGTTCCTTGGAGATACATATGGATAGCTGGAAAGCATGCAGCCATGATCTTGCCATCAAAACGCACAAGCTGAATCATCTCCTGAAATTTCTAGGTAATCCTACAGTTGGCTCAGAATTTCTTTTTTTTTTTTTTTTTAAAGATTTATTTTTATTATTTTTTTTTTATTGGAAAGGCGGATATACAGAGAGGAGAGACAGAGAGGAAGATCTTCCGTCCGATGATTCACTCCCCAAGTGAGCGCAACGGGCCGATACTATGCCGATCCGAAGCCAGGAGCCTCTTCCGGGTCTCCCACGCGGGTGCAGGTTCCCAAAGCTTTGGGCCGTCCTCGACTGCTTTCCCAGGCCACAGGCAGGGAGCTGGAAGGGAAGCGGGGCTGCCGGGATTAGAACCGGCGCCCATATGGGATCCCGGCGCGTGCAAGGTGAGGACCTTTAACCACTTGCGCCACAGCGCCGGGCCCCAGAATTTCTTCATTGTTCAGGCTTATTACTATTTGCACACTGAATATGCAATATTAAACAATATGTTCCCATCTTTCTGGGAGTTTAAACATCAACATGAATGAGAAACTATAAGTAAGCTAATCAGTAAGTAAAACTAACTTACCCATCCATTTCTATAGAAGCTTATTTTCCTCCAAATACTTTTCAAAAAATGGTGGCTATATTTTATAAATTCTAATGCTCTCTGCTTTTCTTTTTTTTTAAAGATTTATTTTATTCTTGTTTGAAAGGCATAATTACAGAGAGAAGGAGACACAGAAAGAGATCTTCCATCCAATGATTCCCTCCCCAAATGACCATAATGGCCAGAGCTTAGCCTATCTGAAGTAAGGAACCAGGAGCTTCCTCTGGTGCTCCCATGTGGGTGCAGGGACTGAAGGCCTTGGGTCATCCTCTGCTGCTTTCTCAGGATATAAACCAGGAGCTGGATGGAAAGGGGAACAGCCAGGACACAAGAAGCTTACTGCAGATTGAAGCTTAACCTACTATTTCATGATACCAAACCCTGTTCTCTGTTTTTCTCATGTCTGCCCTCCTTCTAGGTAATCAAGGTAGTATAGGAAAGAGATAGCCTGCTCTAAAATTTAGTGGATAGAAAGTAGCCGGGCGTGGTGGCGCGCCTGTAGTCCCAGCTACTCCGGAGGCTGAGGCTGGAGGATCGCTTGAGTCCAGGAGTTCTGGGCTGTAGTGGCTATGCTGATCGGGTGTCCACACTAAGTTCGGCATCAATATGGTGACCTCCCGGGAGCGGGGTACCACCAGGTTGCCTAAGGAGGGGTGAACCGGCCCAGGTCGGAAACGGAGCAGGTCAAAACTCCCGTGCTGATCAGTAAAATTTAGTGGATAGGAAGTAGTCCTTCCTGCTGGAGTTCCAGCTGTAACAGATTTTCATGGAACAGGAGCAGGTGGCCATGATTCTTTACATAAATCTTTGAACTACAGCACCTCTCAGGCTCCCCGGGCCCTGCCAGAGCATTCAAGGGCATTTTACATTTACATTTTATTCATATCTAACAGTATGATGATTAAGTTTGAAGACATTACATAATGGCTCAAAACAGAGAGGAAGAAGGGGACAGTTTCCATGAGTGAATGAGAGACAGGGCAGTGGTAATCACAGAAATGCAGATGGATTCCTACTCTTAAATATTATTAGTCTGTAATATACTATTACATAAGGAATACTTCATTTCTAATTCAATCTTTCCACTATTGTATCATGACCCAGTCTACCCCGTGGGGTCCATGTTATAAAAGATGGAATTGAAAAGTGGCAATCATTCACACGACTATAATAGGGTCGTTTTAAAAGGAGTTCAGAACATGGAACTAATCTTAGGACTCAGGTCAAAGGTTCTGTATACAGTCACTAAAAATTCTTTCAATGCTTCTGTAGCTCAAGGCACATTTTATCCTTGTTATCGCACAAGCATCATAGGTCCCCTGAAAACATGACCTTGAAAAAATCCTTTTAATTATGTGTTGACAGCAGCACCATCCACTCCCTCACTTGCATACCCTTTCCTCTTCCAACAGAAAAACACAAATATTTAACCCGAAGGATAATTTCATGGTATAACACATGACCACAGCCTTAAATCTCAACCAAGCACCTAATGTTGCTAAAATAGGAAACATGCATAAGAAAATAGGAGCAGCCATGAACTATAGACTTAATTCAATAAATACAGATTTGGGACTAAAGTGCTTTCCTCCTAACAAAATCTCAGCTGGACTTCCAAAGGATTGAACTAAAGGGAGATAAAAGAATAATTATTTATAAGGGTAAGCCTTTGATTGCTAAAGGAAAGAGAAAGGGAATAAGTAACACTCAACTTCTCTTTACTCCCATCTCCTGACCTAACAGATCAAGCCCATGGGGAGCAAGCAGCATTGAGCAACACAGATCTGAGAAATCACTTCCTGGGACCCAGTGTGGGGATGATGGGTCACAGCCTGGAGCCCAACCATGACCTTCACACCACTGACTGTCCCTTCTTGTGGCTGATGACAATGGAGAAACCCTTAAAGACCTGACATTCAGAAACTCTAAAAGAGTGAGGAAATTTACTCTTCAATTTTTTTTAATTTAAGCTTACTCATGACAAGACAGCACAAAGCTAGAAAATGAGCAGTATATAGAAAAATATTTGCAACAAATAACAATACAGACTGCTTATAATACTTCCTGTGTGCCAGATACTGATTTAATGTGTCCTCATTCATTTACCTCTAGAAAGGTGTGAGGTAGGTGCCATAATTATTCACATTTTCAGGCCAGGAAATACAGGTCAGGCAATTAGACTAATCACACAATTAGTAATTGATCCAGCCAGTATTAGAACCAGACAGTTGAACTGCCAGGACTATGCTCAGAACCTGTCCTCCATGCTATATTTCATGTCTTTAAATGCCACCTGAAACAGTGCTTAAAAACCCACAATTCATGAAGGAATCCCAAAAGAAATGAGAAAAAATAAAGAGAAAAAATCACTAGAGGCTTTTGGTAGGTAACTCAATAATAATAATGAAATTTAAATGTTCAAAAAACATCAAATCCTAACAATTAATTACATGCAAAATTTCTTAAGGGGATGTCATTTTTCTTTTATTCATTACATGAGCAAAAATTAAAATATTGTAACTTTGTGCTGGCAAAAGAACATGTCTTTTCATAGTCTGTGAGTTAAAATACAAATTGGTATAGCTTCCATGCTGATAAATAATAAAAGCTTAATTCCCCATTAATTTATGGCTTAGTAGTACCCATTGACTGAGATATATTCCATAGAACATGTACAACGGTAAACCAAGATATCTCTGTAATATTATTTACCTTAGTAAAATTTTAGAACTACCCAAACATCATGTAGCTTTTTTTAAGCTGTGGAACAGTCTGTGAAGCATGACACAAACTACTTGCATTGTGACGGTTAAGCGTGTAGACCCTGAGGTCAGACTAGCAGGACCCATTGTTACTATCTCTGTTATGTCGATAGCTCAAGTAATTGGGTCCCTGGCACCTATGTTGGAGACTTGGACTGTTTCTGGCTTCTGGTTCTGTCGGTTGTGGACATTTTAGGAATGACCCAGGAGACACAAGCTCTTGCTTTCACTTAGTCTCTCTCTCTTAATACGTAGATCTGCTTTTAAAATATATAGTAAAAGAAAAAATAAGGTGGCACATGTGACATTTTCAAGGAGTACCTGATACATCACAGCACTCCATAAATACTATCTATTGCTCTTGTGACAACCACATAGAAATATCTCTAAGACTCATTTTCTTTAAAAGATGTACACAGCTATTAATACATACAATATGATTGGCATTATTTCTAAATAAACACATACATACATAAAATACCTGTGCACATAAGCAATCACTTAAAGACTTAGAGTTAGCTTTAATCTCTTTTGGCACAAAGTGAGTTTAAAACAATAAATAGCATTTCAAACTTTCCACAGAAGAAAAAAATCAGAAAAAAAATACATCAAAATGTTCACCTGATTGCTTTTGGATGGACAAATGAGTCAGTTTTGCCCACTTTTTCCATTTTCTTTTCCAAATTTCCTTTTAGCCTTCTATAGTACCTAAATAACAACAACAAAGCTAAACAACTATGATATTAAGCAAGCACACTGATAACAGATGTAGTAGAAATGATGACATATGGAAACAGAATTCTTCTCCCCTGTTACGCAATCAACTTCTGCAGTTCCTTCTCTACCTGAGGCCTGAAAGCAAGGAACAAGCATGCCCGCTTGTTACAGGATTCACATGAGCAAGAGGACAGTATACGGGTTAATTTGTGGAAGGAGGAAGAGATCACTGAACAAAGACACACACTCACAGCTTCGGTAGCTCAGGGCAGCCCTGAGACGTGCGATTGGTCTCACAGTGGCATTTCATACAACTCCAGTTCTGGAAGCCTTTATGAGGGGCACACATTCTATTTCTCATGGGCCCACTCACTTTTGATTGTCTTAAATCCCACTGCCACTTTTATTGATTACATCTGCTTGGCCTGTAAATGCTTCTGAGTTTGCAATGCCTAATTCAATCCTCAGTACATAACCAGAAAATAGAAAATGGTTTTCAAAAGACTAATTAAATATAAAGAAACAGCAGTTTTAAAGTCAAAGGCAAATTTCACCATCCCATCTCTAACAGCTGTTAGTCGGGCCCAACTGATTCTCTATTCTGAAGGCTTGAATTTGGAATTCAGTGCTGCTAAAAATCTCATAATCAAACTTAACGGAGAGTAAAGGACAACAATGCATGCGGCCATTTTCTACTTATATATGCAGAGGCTAAAAGAGTCAGAGGTTTAGGGGAAAACAAGCAACAGTGTCAACAAAAATAAAGGTGAGAGATGGTGTGGTCCTGTGTTAGGGTGAGTGCCACAACAGACATCCCCAAACTTCAGCAACTGTAACAGAATTGGACACTGGCTTCCTAGCGGGCCACCATGGGGCTCTTGGAGCACTCCTCAGCAGCTTGCCCACAACTGTGCCCAAGGTCCTTTCAGCTTGTGGCCCTGCCCCCTATAGATCACCGGAGTCATTCCCATTCGGTCACTGGATGTGATGAGAAACCAACAGCAACTTTTCACGACCCAGGTCTAGGAACAGCAGGTATGCCCGGTTGACAAGAAATCAGCGAGAATGTGCTCCTAATTACAGGAGATGTTAGAGTCTTTTGGTGCCCAAAAGAAAAATGCAATTTAGTAGACACACAGCATTCTGCCACAAACTTCAAAGAAGGGTAAATGAAAGAATAGCAGCCAAACTATTTTGAAAAGGTAAATGGAAAATAGATGTTGGCAAGGATAAGAAGAGATTGGAATCCTGGTACTCCATTGGTCTTCCTGCTTTGGGTGGTTTATCATGCCTCCATAGCTTTGCTAGTGCTCCTCTAACTCTCTGATTCCCTTTCTTCATTTGGCCAACTTCCACTTCGTCATCAGGAATCAGTTCAGTCGCCACCTTGTCTCCTCCCAAAAGCCCTTGTTGACTCCTCCTGGTCCCAATGTTAATTTGAGCTAGTTGGTTCTTCTATGTATTCTCATCTCAGAAGCTCTTATCTTCATTTCCCTGTGTTCCCCATGGTCAGCCCTGACATCTGGGACTGTCTCCCTAACTCTGGGTTTGTCTCCCTGTCACTAGAGGCTATGACTGTGCGTTGGCCTGTCTGGACACTCAGCAAATGTCTTGTGTTTACCACAAAGGGAATGCCATAGCTTCCTGGAATTTGTAACAAATACAAGATGCCAGTTAAGAAATAAAACAAAACAAAACAGAAAGACCAGATACACATTGATTTGTATGTATGGATTTTTTTTGAACTACTGATGGTCAAGCAAGATATTGTCCCATACTAAATCATGCCTCCATACTAGAAGAGTTAAAACTGATTCAATTTTTCCTTTCCCTAAGGACCGACTGACTGCATTCAAGAATGCAGACACAGAAAATAATAGAACACAATTGGAAGCTAATGAAGTTCTTATTTTTACTCACTCTGGCCATGCTTCTACATGGGAGTAAATCTGTTTACATCTCTGGAAGGAAAAATCTGTGTTTCATTTTGTAAACTCAGAGCAGGAATCAGCTGCCTGAAGACATCCTGACACTGTCACAGCATTTTAGGGAAATTCTGTGAATTGCACAATTTCAGATGAAACTGTCACTCAAAAATGTGTCATTTCCTAAGGAAGGCAAACTATACCCTGCCCATCTTCTGACAAGTCACCTAGGCAAGCTGAGTCGAGGGCTGATTTGCTCCTCATTTCCAGAAGAACGTAGTCATGCAAGTTCTATTTATAG